CCACCCGAGTCCAGTGTGAAGGTGTGTAGTGCCTCAGTAGACGCAGTAGCACCTGGAGCAGCAGACTCACTAGCACCTAGAGCAGTAGCCTCACCAGGAGCTAGGGCAGCAGACGCACTACCCCCTAGAGCAGATGTCTTACTCGTCCCAATACCCGGGTCGGGCGGTACACTCAGGTAGCAGTCACCCTCAACACTAATAATCAATGCATACATAGCAGCAAGGATAGCATCAAAATCAAGAGCAAAGATATCAATTCCAGCCCAGCGGAACAGCTCAGAGGCGTTAGGGAACTGCTCGCGCCAGGCGTCGTCGAGGCGAAAGAATCAGCGCTGCGCCGTGTGAAACCTCCCACAGGTCTGGCCAGTGCTGTCACCTGTGCGGATGACGTACGGGCAGGTACCTCTACCCTCCGACCCCCCATGCTGAGAGTACCACTCACGGAGCTGCTCGGACGACGGGGTCTCGATGGGACGTTACTAGTGCTGCCTCTGGCCACCTCCAATCCCCCCACGCTGCACCGCTCCACCGCGCCCGCCACCGGCTCCATTGCCGCCACCACTGCCACCACCACCCCCGCCACCCCCACCACCGCCGCCTCCACCACCCCCGGCTCCGCCACTGACCCTCCCACCACCAGCACCACTCCCACCACCGCCACCACCCCCGCCGCCTCCACCCCCTCTTCCACCGCCGCCCCTGCCGCCACCACCGCCACCCTTGCCCCCCTTGCCCCTGCCGCCCTTGCGCCTCCCATTTGGAGCAGACGCAGCCCCGACCCCCTCAGCACCGAGGTAGTCGACAGCAGCAGTAGATGCAATGGAGGGGAGGAGGGGGACGGGGGAGCACCCCTCAAAGAAGCGAGTGCGCGGGTTGCCACGAGAGGCATGTACAACTACAATGCTCTTGACAGCTGCTAGGAGTTCCTTCTCGAGCAGGTCGACAGTGAGGTCGGTAGGGGAAAGGGCGAGAAAGTGGTCCCTGACAGTGCGAAGGGAGTCAGGGAGGCGGGTGACTAGGTGATAGAGTGTGAGGTACATCGGGGGAGGGTTCTTGGCTAGGAAATCGGGGGGAAGCGCGGCACAGTAGCGAAGATCACTAGTACGGAGGTGCGTGATGAGGTCAGCTACAGTTGCAAAAGCAGACAGATCGGGGAAGAGATAGGGCAGGGAGAGACGGCCTATCGCAGTAGTAGCAGGGGAGGAGTAGCGTGCAACTACAAGCGTCGTACAGCTCCTTAGCGGTCTTATGCTGGCCAAAGTGCTCGCGCTCATCTAACGGTAGGTGGCTGCGAACGGCTAGGCGAGCATGAGCGTCACGGTCTGCCACTGTGAGCGAGCAGTGCTGTCCGTAGTAGCAGTAGGTGCGGGAGCGGCGCCAGACGTGTGGTCAAACAGGGAAACATCGTCCTTGGGAGTGATCTGGAGGAACATGTGTAGGTCATGGAGCCAAACGACAAACTTAATCGGACGGCAGTCAGAGTCAAACGTGAGAACGGTAGGACTAGCCATAGTGGTAGTAGCAGTAGCAGTAGTAGCAGTAGCAGCAGTAGCAGTAGCAGCAGTAGCAGTAGCAGCAGTATCAGTAGCAGAAGTAACAGAAGTAGTAGCAGTAGCAGTCGCAGTAGGAGCAGTAAGAGCAGTTGCTGCAGGTGGGGCGGCGCGGCTCGGTCAGGGCGGCGCGACTCGGGCGGCGCGACTCGGGCGGTGCGGCTCGGGCGGCGCGGCTCGGGTAGGTAGGGCGGCGCGACGGCGGGCCTATGCTCGGTGCGCGGTGGCGCCTAGGCTGCGGCTGCGCGCGGGCCGCGGCTGCGTTTGTGCGGTGGCTAAGCGCTAGCCGCAGCAGTCGACGAGCGATCGCCGCTGCGCGCAGGCTGCGACCTGCGGGCAGGCGGCAGTGGGTCGAGCGTCAGCCTAGGGGCGAGTAGGGCCTACGGGCGACGGCCTGCTGGGGCTCGCAAGAAAAAATCGGGCCGCCTTAGTCGGCGAATTTGCTACTTGCGCTAAAAACGCGGGGCCGCGCTCGGGCTGCTAGCGGGCTGCAAAACGAGCAGCGTGAGAGGAGGGCGCGTGAGGGCGCACTAGGAGAGAGGCGCTCGAGGGCGCTAAGACGGTAGGGCGCACGAGGGCACCTCTAGCGGATCGGTGGGCCTTTAGGTAATCGGTCCTAGGTGCCTAACCTAGGCTCTTAATACCATGTTGAGAATGAGAAGTTATTGGACTAGAAAGGATCAAGAGTATAAGTAGGAAAAGCTAGAATATTGTACCCCCTAAGGCTAAACCCACTATAGCCTACAGAACAGTAACAGATATAATGTTTGACACGAGCTACCCCCTTGTCTATGGACCTCTTCTGTTTACCAGAACTGTCAGCTGTTGTCGCCGAGCTCCCCTCGTCGACCGCAGCTCACTTGTCAGGTCGACGGACAGCTCCGTCGACCTCCCGGTCGAACTGCTTCTCTTGGTCGACGGCCCACTCGTCGCCTAGCCCAATCAGCTGCAGCTGTCGAGCTTCCTGGTCGAGAGCAGCACCACAGCGGTCCCCTGTAGCTCGACGAAGCCCGTCGAGCAGCTCTCTCACTGTGAGCGGTCGGCTGCTTCTTCCGTACATCCGACCAAGTCGTCAGCGTTGCACAAGCAAGAGCGGGACCAACGCTGCTCTTTCGTTAACAGTAAAACGCGAAGGCAACGCGGGGGACGTTCGGACCTCTGAAAGTTGAAGTTGTACATGTACGGGATGACTGAGGAAGAAATTATTAAATTTCCTTATATTGAACATGATACGAGGTCATAGAAACATACCTTGAGCGCCCCCATGTGCTAATATTCATAATTTTCGCAATATATAAAATATCCGATGTATTCATGTTATACCCTAGGCAGGGCTTAAGTTTCGTTTCTTAGGTACTCATATTTTCACCCTGATGTACTATAATATATTTACAGTCACAGAGGCTCTATGATTTTCCGGTTTAGGGTTTAAATTAATTCATTTAGAAAATATATGCTGGTAATATCTGCTGGTACTTTTTAATTGATATCTGCTCGTTCCTATTTTTCTACCAAAGCTGAATGTGTTTTGGACATATGACCTTGTAAGTAAAGAATAATAGTAGCAAAAATGTTAAGTTGTAATTTGTAGCAGTATTGTTCTCTTATAGGTTGAAATCGTAATTTAATGTTACATTCAGAGTTACAACGATGTTCTATGGTTACACCCCTTTAAGTGTGTCGCCCTCTCGAAAGTGAGTGTCGCGACACTCACTGCGAACTTGGGCGAGTCACAGGCTTCCGATCGCGAAATTACGGATATTGCGGCTGTCAGCATGCACATCACGAAATCTTCGGAGCCAATCAGGTGCAGGGGAACAAGTCAATGGCGAGACTTGTGCCGCACCCAGCTGTAGCTCTGTACAGCCGCTTTTTCGAGAGAGACTTGGGGGGCTGCATCAGAAGTGCTGAAGATGAAGTTGCATCAGAGGTGCTGAAGAGTTGGGATGGAGTTGAGGTTGAGGCCAGGGCTGTCGCTTGCCCTGGCCGAAGAACTTAGCTGGCCTAATTTCAGCCCTTATTTTTCCGGTCTTGAGCCCAATTTCAGCCCTTAGACTCAGGGCTACACATCCTTCTGCACTTGAGTGTAAACACATCGTGAAAGAAGGTTGATCTTCCAATAGACCTAAGGGCTGCGGTACATAGCAGATACATAACCCGATCTTCACTGCAGCGGGGGAGCCGGTATGTAAGGTGTTTTACGTAAGCAGGGAATGAATAACAAGGGAACGATGGGGTGGGGGGTGGAGATGGGCTCTGAACGTGTACGTAAAATCTGGGTTAGGAGCTAGACCAGCCCTAAGGAAAAAGGGTTGGCCTCAAAGCCAGCACTTGAATTCTCTGAGCTGGGCTCAAACAAGCACGTGAATTCAAGGGAAAAAAGGGCAAATGCCCTTGTAGCGACAGGCCTGGTTGAGGCCCATCCGCTGTCACGGTTGTTTTGTGGGGCCGGAGGCAAAATCGATTCTGTTTCGTGGCACCACATCGTCGCCTCACACGGCGTCTGTCGCCAAATCAGCTTTCCATGCCACGCAGCACTTGAATTCTCTGATTTCCCCTGTATTCTCCAGGGTTGAGAGAAACCCTAGTACGGCTAGGAGTGTGTTTTGGCTGCCGCAATGTGAATTGTTTTTGGTGTGTTTGTCCGGGATCTTCCAGGTAACCTCACTACTATATAGGGGGTTTGTGGGAAAAACAATAATTTGGGGACGGCAGGATGTACGCACATGATGAAACCCCCTCCCTCTGAATTCCTTCGCTCCCTCAACGGAGACATCTGCTGCTGGTAGGCCTATTATTTCTTGGAAGGGCTGCTGCAGCAGATGCGAAATCCTAAGCTTGTAGCTCGAGTCTGAGCGCGAATTCGCTCTAGAGCCGCCTGGCCCATGCTTTGTCCGAACTATGGTAGCAGCTTAAACCAATTGAGGAGTAGGAGTCGGCGGAAAAAAATATGTCGGCCCAAGTGGAAGAGTCCGCTATAGACGCTGGCTTGATGCAGGAAATAGTTCGTGCTGACGGGTACATGTGGCTGAAATATGGTCAAAAGCGTGTCTACAATACCTGCATTACTCGGTAAGTCACCAACTGTTGGTGCTTACTGTAACATCTTGAAGATGGTATTCGCCATGCATGGGAATTTCTGAAAGGGAAGAGAATCGTCGCTGGCTCCGAACAGCAACACTTGCTAGCCCAGAGCATTATCTCGTATCCCTGTGAGGGAGTAGATTTCAGCAGAGCATAGCGTCGAGCCGCTACGTGGAGATGCTGTGCTTGTGGCGATGCATTTTTCCTCTCAATTTGCCCTTCCTTCTTCCTAGCATAAACACTTCTCTCTGAATCGTCAAAATTCGTTCATCCAGTTCTTATCTTCAAGCATAAATACAACAAGTTTTGTCCGATTCTAATATTCTGATTCTAATCTTACAACTTATTCTGCCATCATGATCTTTATCTTGAATCTACTCCTATTTTCTCTAAGAACTAAGATTCTGGATTTCTGTCATCTAGCTCTTCCGCGATTCTTTCTCTGTCTTAGCTACGACGCCACCGTCGTCATGGAGGGCCCGGCCAGCCGTGCCTAGTAAGCTTGGCGCGCTGTAGCCATGTTTCAGTGACTCCAGAACTACCAATGCTCCTGATATCCGCAATGGGTAGCAATGACGACGATGCCTAACTCCCTTGTTTGGCAGGTGCTACTACAAGTGTTGGTGCGTCAGAAGCAAGCCCCCCTGCACAGCTAAGAAGACCGTGGAGTACGACCGCCGAAGAAAATACACTTTGACTACAATTCACATCAACTACAGCAGCCCCCACCACAACCATCCAGCCCCTCTTGAGAAACGCATCTGCGAGGAGGAACCAAGTCGTCCCACCGGAATGCACCCCGTTGCTGCACCTCGGAGACAGACCAGGATGCAGCAAAATAATAATAAGAATGTTCCCCCTGCCAGTTCTCACTCCACACCTGAACCAGCTACAGAAAGTGACCGCCGTGCTGCTTCAGGTTCTGTCGACAATGACCTTGATCCTGCGTTTGACCCACTTTCAGTGCCACCTGATGTTGCTCCAGAAGTGCTCACTCCTCCTGCTGTTACTGCAGCCATGTCCTCCAGCAGCACGGCAGCAGTGGCTTCAGAGCACGCATCTGGTTCTACTAAACCGATATGCCAGCAGCGCCCTACCCCGACAAACAATGCGGATGTGGATGGTGTCGGCCGAACACCTGACACCGCTGGTTGTTCTTCAAAATGTGGATCCAGCTTGGAAACTACACCGAATGGTGAAGAGCCTATTTCTAAGCAGCTCCCTGATATCAGCACTATCCTTGCTCAAAGAAGCGAAACTCAGTCAATGCCAAAGAAAGATTTTTGTGAGTGGTGTGACAGTAATTTTCCTGATGGCCCACCATGTGCTAAACAGGGGAGATACACATGATTAGCACCCGCATGATTCCATCCCTGCAGTTCTGTGAGCTGTTGGTAGGAATGAGGGGCAGCTTCAGTTTGATTCTGAGTTGCACGTTGGTGCTGCCAAAACGGTGTTACTGTTTTCACCCTTCCAGATTTCCGCGAGTTGTACCAATATGTTATGAGAGTGAAAAGCCTTGGATGGACTGACTGAGATGCACAATCCTGTAGTTGAGGTCCCATCATCTGGATACGACCCCATCGCAAATAGTTTAAGCGAGTTTCTTGCGTGATATAAGTGGACTGGCTTCACGTGCTGTTGAGTGATATGTCATGAAATGCTTATTCTGCGTAGTATGTGTCGAAAAGAGCATAAAGTGAATATACGTGCCATTGCATATGTCGAAAATCCCCTTACCCATCAGCCTCCTCTCCCTAGACCCCTCCTGGTCTTCCACTCCCTTCCTGGCTCTTTCC